ATCGAGAAAGGCCTTGCGGCCGGAAAACCACGGTTCCCGAAGGAGGCATTCTGCGGCTGGACAACCCTAGGGTTTTGATAGACAGCTTGAGGAAAGTTCGGAGGCTGCTGAGAGTATTGGACGTTGGCTGGGAATTGGAGATTAACGCTTTGAAGGAACTGAGCGGTATAAATATAGCCGCCGCCACCGGAACCCCCGGCGGGTATACCATACGGCCACGACTGTGGCGGCGGACGATGCATTGAACAGCGGTGACGCCGCAGGACTTTTGTCAATATTAACAGAGCAGCTGCTCGGAACGATGAGGAGATATAGGATCAATATAAACGTTTAGTCGGTTTAGACCTTTTTTTTATGGGAATTTAACTTCTTTGTTTAGGTTTAGATTTTTTTATAATATATATATATAGAGAGAGAGAGAGAGAGGATATTTTTGGCATGCTAATACATCACCTTTAATTTTTTCAAAAAAAAAAAATTTTGGATGATTTGATATTTTTAATAATTAGAAAATACTATTTTTCTAATTATTAAATACACTTAAATATCCTTGTTGCGTCTAGGAGTATTCGTGGCGGTAGAGAAATATCATATTTAACGTCTTAGCATTGTACGAAAATCCGGCACGCAATCAGATAAGGAGAGAGGGTCTAGCATTTATGAGACACCAAGATTTTTACGTGAAGAACCCCTGAAAAAGGGGGAAAAAACCACGGGGCCTAGCCCAGTTTGAATGAATCCACTAGTATTGCAGTCGATTACAAATGAGGCCCTTCCTTGGTGGAAGGTCTTAGCTTGATGTACATATGATGGGGCACATTACATGATGTAAATACAAAGAATCGTTATTGACATGTTCGTTTGGTCGGGAGGACCGTAGTCGGCTAGCGACGGAGGACTGTAGTCGGTGGGCGACGTAAGTCAGGAGGACCGTAGTCGGCGGGCGACGAAAGTCGGAAAGAATGTAGTCGGCGGGTGACATAAGTCAGGAGGACCGTATTCAACGGGCGATGGATGTCGGGAAGACTGTAGTCGGCGGGCGATGTAAGTTAGGAGGACCGTAGTCGGCCGGCGACGGAGGTCAGTGGACGGTCTCTCGAATTTAATTTTTGAAGTTTCTGAACTGCTTTTGCCTCGAGATTCGTGCCCAATCAAGATAATTTTTGCATGACGTATCAATCCTAAACATTTTTTTTATAAATTTTGGGGAGGTTATGTTCGTCAAATGCAATATTTCATATTATTTCATATTTTATTTTGTAAATTAATAGGGGTAAATATTTTCTATATAAAAATGATATTTTGTAAATTATCAGGGACACCTCCCCAAAATTTTTAGAATTTTTTATTTATTTGAAATTTTCATAATATTCACTTCTTATGTGATTGTTATGAAAAAATATTAATTATTTAAAAAATTAATTAAATATTTTAGAATGCGATATGACTTCATTAAGAATTTTTGTCATGCTACCAACTTAATTTCATATTAATTTTGTTAATTATCAAAAAATATTAATTAATTTAGTTATTTCCTTAGTTATCCTTTTAATTAAGAAAATTAGATTTTTACCTTTAAATTTGACTTGATATAGTCTTGAACATTGACTTTTCAAAATATTAAATTTAAAACCCCAAATTTTAATGTCAAAATCTCATGTTTTAATTTTAAGTATTTTAGGTATTTTTAATATATTGGATTTAGGTATTTGATTATTTTAGGAGTATTCTAAAAATTTCCAATATTATTTTGATAAAATATAAAATCTTCAACATCAAATTCAATTTGATTTAAATCAATTAACTCATAGCTAAATTCAATCTTAAACATTAAACACACATTTGTGTGCTGTCCTAGTCAAGTCAAGTTGATCTTAGGTCAACATTAGTTGACCAATATTTCTAGCATCATGTGTTTACTTGTCATTCATATTTTACGCTCTTTACTTGCATTTAGGCAATAGTTTAGGGTCATTAAGTCATTATAATGCACCTTAGTCCTTCTATTTGATTTTTTTTTTTTTATTTTAACCCAATAACTTTGAATCAAACTTGATTTATATAGATCACACATTACACTATATTTTCTGAACAATTTGGTTATTTCACCCTATAGTGGGTCAGCAAGTAGTGGACAACACATCAAAGGATAACTTATACAATATTCTATGATTGTCTACCCAAGCTCTTTCTTAGGCTATGGGACTCAGCATATGATACCCTTTTGATACACCTCTAGAGATCAATTTTTAGTTAACTTATTGCATCACTTTCATGCATTTACTACGACCAGAATTTTGACTCTACTCCTATTTGCTAGTTTGATCATTCTCTTTTGGCTATGCTTCATTATGACTTAGCCATGCCCTTTTAGCTGGGTCTCCTCCAAGTATAGTCATGCTCTTTTGATTATGATACTTAACCTCCTAATCATGCTCTTTTAGTTAGAAAACATCAGAGAATAAGTCGTGCTCTTTTGACATGATTTAATTTGAATCTAAATATACTCTTTCGAATAAGTCTATCCCCATTTTGAAAACGTGCGAATGTTTGTTCAAAATTTTCATTTTAATGTATGTTTTAGACATTTGTTCATTTTAGCATGATTGTTAGTTTTAATTGTTGAATAATCAAGCATTCAAGCTCATGAAATTTAGTTTGACTTCATGAGCCTTCTCTAATGGCTTGAAATTAATATTGGTAATGACCTTTATTGGGTTAATTAGATGCATGCTAAGGGATTTAGTTTGTAAAACATCTTCTTGGATATTCATCATGTATAGCCTTTGATCTTAGCACGATTGGCTTGAGAATATATTGCATGAATAGTACAATCACATGTCTTTGGAATATTTGATCCAACACACATATAAAAAAGAGAGGAGTTGTAAGTGATATCAGATTTTTTACATGGAAAAACCTAACCAATTGAAAAATGACGGAGCCTAAACTAATTGAAATAATTTAATTATTATTTTTCATCAGTTACAAATGATGCATCACCCCACGACTGAGGAATGTGCTCATAAAATATAGTATATGTATAATGTATTTGACATGTTTTGTGGTGGATGTTGGAAGTGTCATGTGATAAGAGAGTCGTTTTCAAGAGATTGCTCTTTGTTTGTTTAGTCGTTCTAAGTCCATTATAAATATTGGTTCTAACGTTGGGGGTTAAACTTGGTATAAATATCTCAATGAGTGATGAAATGAATTTATATTGCTGGCGACAAGGACTGAAAAAGTTAGCGAGCATCAATATAGCTAGGAAATAATGGTCAAAGACTATAATCAAGCTTCAGTGGCTGAAGGACTATAATCGAAGCAAGGTGGTTGAAGGACGAAGTAGGTTGATGATAGGTGGAGAATCATAATCGGGAAATAATGATCAAAGGATCATAACTGATCGAGGATGGTCGAATGATCGTAGTCAACCAATAGTGATCGGATGGCCATAGTTGAGTAATGGAGGCTAGATAACCATGTTCAAGCAATGATGGTCAGCGGATTGTGGTTGATAGTGATGTTCGAAGGATCATGATTGGTTAATGGTAGTCAGAGGAATGTGGTCAGCCAATGTACAAAGAGTTATAATTGGGCAACAGTGGATGAAGGATCAAAGTTAGGTGATAATGATAGTGATTGGATGATCATTGCTAAATGATGGTGGTCAGAGGATTATAGTTGAGCAATAATGGATGGAGGATCTTATTTAGGAGAAAGTGGTCAGATGATCGTAATAGAGTGACGATGGTCGGAGTAATGTAGTTTGGCAAGGTGGTCAGAGAATCATAGCTAGTTGATAATGATCTAAGGACTATAGTTGGTGATGCAGTTGAGATGACCATAGTCCAACGATGGTAGCCGGAGGACTATAGTTAGGCGACAATACCCAGAGGATTGAAGTTGGGCAATGGTGATTAGATGATAGTAGTCAAACAATGATGGCAAGAGGACCGCGATATGATAGTGTTGATTAGGCGGTAGTATGACGGCGAAGGTCGGGGTACTATATTGAGAGTACTTATCATTTTCATTAAATTTGGTACTTATATAAAGATGTGATTATCCAAGATATTGTGAATACTCAGTATTTTCATTAAATTTGATTTTGATTGAAACTTTGTATTGGTTTTATCACGTTTAAAGTTTTTTTCTTTGCTACACCTTGCCATGGTGTATGTTATGCATCGTGCAAGGCATGACAACTATTTGTCTAGAGATCTCAGCTACTTGTCTAACATACTTGTATAACGACCAATATTACTTGTCAAAAGAATTCACTTGAGATACTGATCGGTTTTTTCTGAAACTTGTGTGAAGTTCCTAGGATAGTTGCCAACAAAACTCGTCTGCTAAACAGTTAGCTCATATTATACCGCTAATCTTAGCTCATACTTATAAATGAGAGCTGGAAGGTCAATTGCGGGCGATGACATAATCCTTTACTTGGATCAGTACTTTGTTTCTCTTAACACTATAAGCTACCTAAAATTCAAAACTTTTTTTTTTCTGTCTTCTTTGATCTTAATCAGTGCTTTACTTGGAATTTTTCAAGAACAAAATTGGATCTAACAACTTTGGCTTAATTTTCAGGTGGAGCAAACTTATAAATAATTGTTGGTGTTGCCTCGAATTTGAATGGACTTTTCACTACAAAGAATGGGCCAATAGCGACCAAACAGTAGAGACAAAAAGGAAATTGTAGCTAAAGATGATTAATAATTCAATTTCAACAAAATGTATGTTGAAGTTGCCTTGAATTTGGCTCGACCCCTATTTGTTCATAACCTTGATCTTCCTACGCTTCGTAGATGTGTCAAGGGTCCAAGAGGGCAGCACCCCCTAACGGGGTTCAAATTACCTAAAAAATCACATAATAAAAAAAATTTAATTTTAATTTTGAAAGGGAGGGCAATTGTCCCTCCTGGGCTTAAGGGGGATCCGCCCATGAGCCCCCTGCATTACAAACAAAGAATTAAAAAAAAAATCAGCAAAACTGAACAAACTGATTTTGAAGATACCATCAAATGTTTCTCAAAACAAAACTACATAACCAAAAATTTGGATTCACAAGTTTTGATATGACAGTGCAATCAATATCTATTGACATCCAAGGATATTTACATGTGAAAAAGAAAATATAGATCAATTTCAGAATCATCTATACTCTGTTAATCACCTATTTAAAATTGAAGACCTTGTCTGCTAATTCCGTAGAGGAAGTTTTAAGAGATGCTCGACAATGGAAAAACTTCAGTTAATGCTGTGAGAGGCAGTTGATGAAAGAGTCTGATTGCTGTTGCTGTCATACAACCAAATGTCAGTTCTATTTGTTAATCCTCACGAGTGCTCGAAGTTGCAGAAAAAGCAGATATCATCTGTTTAAAATCTGAAAGAATAGTTAGCATTATAACTTGACCATTTACTGGAGAAGATAACAGTAAATTCAGTGAAGCAAATAATATATGAATCAGTGAACACAACAAGAACAATTCTCAAGACAATTTTATGTCAGCCTGGTATTTGCAGGTTAAAAAACTCAGTAGACAACATTTTTCCAAAAAGATTAAAGTAAATTAAGTAAACAAATAACTAAGGATGGCAAGACTTGGGATAAAGCATATTTGTGACAAAACCAAATATAAAACCATATTATAGGGTTTCTTGCCCATAGAAAACTTGTAACTCCATAGAGACTTGTAACTTTAAGCTCATTCCCTTCTACACTTTCACTTTCTCGTTGTTAGAAGACAACTTTCTTGTTATTTAATTTTTCAAACTAAATCTAATTCTATTTGACAACTACTTTCTTATTAGTTTCTCGTTGGTTTAAAATATATATATATAAAAAGCTACTTTTATAACTGGAGTGCTGATGTGTGGTAGCTTTAAAAAGCAGCATTTCAATCTTATAAGAAATATATATATTTATAATATCTACAGTAGCTTTCAATATACATATCCCACAACTGTACAACTAACTTCACAAAATGTTGTAGGCTTGTGGCCGCCCCAAACAGATCCTAAGTCAGTTTTAAATTGCTCAAGATGTGAAAAAGTTTGATGCTGCATTTAAAACATTTACTTTTAGTAATGAAAATGATATTAAAACCTCGAGCCCGATACACAAAACAGCATGGAAAGCCCAAGTTAGGGGAGGTCTATACCAGCTTAGCAAATAGAAGTTGTATACAGATAAAGAAAGATCGTATGGAAGGTACCATCAATATAAAATGTGATTACTACAAAACTATTTGCACATAAATCATTTCATTCGGATAGATATGACGCAATAAAGAAATGCATTTACATGCTATGAAGAATAGTACCTTTGTTGAAACTTTCGAATGATAGATTTCAGTAAATGATCTCCAACTGTTTGCCTAAGGTGAGTTACCAACTGCTCACGAGAAATTTTCCTTTCCTGCAAATACACCAGTCCAATGTACCATGAATAAAAAGGAGGACGAAAGTAAAGTAAGTATCATATGCACATAGTAGAGCAAAAACACCACCATCAACAACAACAATATCAAGCCTTTGTCCCACTACGTGGGGTCGGCTAAATGAATCCTTTTTTGTCATTGTGTCCTGTTAAAAGTCAAATTCTCATTTAAATCTAATAAAAAAATATCATTTTTAATATTTTCTAACCAAGTCTTTTTAGGTCTACCTATACATTTCTTAACATAAGTCAAATCTAATACTTCAACTTTCCTAACTGGGTCATCGAAAGGCCTCCGTTTAATGTAACCAAAACACCTAAGGCGACACTCTCTAATCTTATCTTCCACTCGAGCTACTCCAACCTTTTCACATGTATGCTCATTTTGCTTCCTATCTCTAAAGGGTAAATCCACTCATCCACCTAAGCATCCTCATCCCTGCAACACTTAACTTATTATTATGCTTCTCTTTTAATGGCCAACATTCAGCACCATAAAACATTGCAGGTCTCACCACCATCTTATAGAATTTTCCCTTAAGTTTGAGGGGGACTTTTCTATCTCACAACAAGCCCAATGCATTCCTCCACTTCAACAAAAATAGGAAAAGAAAATTGGCTCAAGATAGCCCATGTTAAATTTAGTTCAAAATGTCAAACGTCTCTTTGAGGTGCAAGCCTTTTTCAATTGGATAAGAAGTCATCTTTCTATTTTGCAAGACTAAAAATCCAGAGAATTATTTTCTACAAGAAAAAAACAGGCCGCCTTGAAAAGACAAAATAAAATAAAAAGCCTGATCCACTTTTTTTCCAGAAGGTTCAGTGTACAATTAATTACCATATATTTGACGTGGAACTTCTTAATCAAGCAGATCTTTGAAGAAGATAAACCCTTAGAAAGAATATAGATCAGCTTGTTGAAAGATATCCATGGTGAGTGTGGCCTTGTTACAATCTCGTTCAGGCTCCCTGAATGTGCAAGAGGAAAATATTAACAATCCAAGAAAACTCTAAATAAGAACATAATCCTCAAACTTCATTTATTTTTTCAGTGATCAATGAAAGAAATTAGAGAGGAAAGAAAAAAGAACCTTTGGATTGGGTGTCCAATTGGACAGTCAGCACATACAATGGCAGCACACGAGTTTTAGCATCAGAATACCGTACAATATACTTCTGGGGAAATTGCTGATCATCCACACAAGAATCAAACTCATCTGAACTCGGTCCAAATGGTTTTGTACCAGGAAGAAACTGTTCTGTCTTTCCCAATATCACTCGACAGAAAATAAGGTACTTAAATCCATTTGCATCAGCAACTGACGACAGGACGCTGTCAATTTATATATATTAGGATGATATTTAAATAAATATAAAAAATATATACTATATATCTAAAATTTATTTTAAAAATTACATCAATATACAGTGATGCAAAACACGTGGAAATGGTGCTGTTGAAAAATAATAATAAAAGAAGACTCCCAAGCCTTCTCATTGCACATTTGGAGCTTATCTTCAGCTTCTTTATGGGGTAGTGGCCATAAAAATATATTCAATAAGTTTACACTTCTGTTTCATTGGAATATTTTTGTTATTGCTTTTTAAAATATTTTTTTAGTTAAAAAATTTCTTCAAATTAAAATTTTTTGTATTAAAATTTTATTTTAAAAAATAGTAAGAAAGTTGTCCCAAATAAAGCCTTACTCTGACTTTCTTAGACTTCATTTGAAACAACAAAATCGTGTTTACGGGAAGACATTATCGCTTTATTTCGGACGGCTTTCTTACTGCTTCTTAAAACAGTTTTCTAGCATAAATTTTTATGCTAGAAAGTTACTTTAAAAAACAGTAAGAAAACTATTCCAAACGAAACTTATGTGGGAAGCTATTATGTTAATATTGTTTGGAGCTTTAAATAGTAAATACAAATAGAGATTTGTTCTATTAAAGATTAATTTAAAAAAAAAAACTAATTAAAAGCATTGGTTTTTTTTTTATTTGTGGGGGTCTAATCAGGCCCACTAGAATTTTCAAATTTATTTCCAAACAAAACTAAGAATTGAGCTCAATAAAAAATATTGTGGTCTAATGTTGTATTTAAAGATTTTTTTTTTAATTTTCAAAATATATTTTCATTATTTGCTGATAAAAAAATTTACATGATTTGGAGAATTACTATTACAAGTTTTAAACAAGAAATCTTTTATTAGGGGTGTCAATTTTTGACACGGCCTGAAACACGACCCGAATCCGACCTGAAAAAATCTGGGTTAGGGTCAACCCGGACATGAAAGGGGTCGGGTTCGGGTTTAACAAATCAACCCGTTTTAAAATCGGGTCTGGTTCAGGTTGACCCAACAACCTGAAAATGACCCGAAATTGACACGAAAACTCCTATTTGACTTGGAAACCCGAGATTGACCCATTTTACCCAATTTTGACACGAAAATAGAAGATTGACCCGATTTTTGACCCTAAAACTAGCAATTTTAGGTCAACTTCAGGTCACTCGTGTTTGGTCTAGTTGACTTGGACCCGAATAGGGTCGGGTTCAGGTCCGAAAACCTAACCCATTTTTTAAAACGGGTCGAGTACGGGTTGACCCGAACATTGTCGGGTTAGTTCTAGGTTCGACCTGAACCCGACCCGTTGACCTAAATTGACACCCCTATCTTTTATGTCTGGTGCTCTTATCATATATTTTTAGGGGAGATTTATACACATATCATAAAATTTTTATATGTTTATTTTTATGATACTCAAATATCTATATTTACTTCAATAATATTTTCATGTCTTAATCACATTAAACTATATATGTGAAAAGTGTATTAGAAAAATTAATGCTAAAGATATTTATACTGTAATTTAAAATTTTGAATATTATACAATTTAAATATTAGTTAGCTAGAGGAATTAAGCGAAAATGTGGCATTGTGTTACGCCTAAGGGCGTTTCTTAAGTGATGTGATATCATTGTTTTTTTCTAGGCTTTTAAAATCGGATCGGACTGTCCGGTTCAACTGGTTGAACCATGAACCGGCCGAGTAGCGGGTTACGGTTCACGTTAAAACCAGTTGAACACAAAATCGGTATTGAATCACTCGAACCCCAAATCGGTATTAAACCGCTTGAACCGAGGGTTCAACCGCCAAACCGGCCCCACTTTTTGATAACCGATCGGTTTGACCCTGGCTCGACCTTTTGAACCACTAACCTCTCCTTCTTCCGGTTCATTGTCCGGTCCAGTTTTCAAAGCCTTGATTTTTTTCTTTATGGGCTATTTGATTGCCTGAAAAAAGAATGTGGTGTAAAATGAATGTGATGTACATGAAAATTTTGGAGATGTTAGCATGAGTGAAAAAGAAATGCAAGACTTTATTATTTTTTTTTTAATTTGACATAAAGTGAATACTATTCAAATTGTAAGAAGAATTTTATCGGGGTGATCGGTGACGAGTGGCAGCCAAAGGCGGGTCGACAAGAGTGCAATAACTTCAAGTTGCTTGTATTTTGCTTAACTTCCCTCTTATTACACAACTCTCCTTGGCCTATTGGTTGAGAGCTTAGGCTTCCAAGTAAGAGGTCCCAGATTTGAGTCTATGTGTATGCGTTGTGTGTGTGAGTTTGCCTTAAATGACCTAAATGTCCCAAATAAATTAACTTCCCTCTCATTAGAATTTTCTGGCTAACTTGAAATTTCCTCTTTACAATCATAAAAAGCAGACTAGATGACCTAGTTTAACAACTATTCTTCTAAATTCCCAACTTCAACTTCATTTTATTTGAAGAGTTGCGGTAGCATTTCATAAATTATTAAGTTGCCCTTTATCAAGTCTAATATATCATCAAAAAATTATCTTGATCGAGCACAAATCTCGAGGTAAAATCAAGCCGGATTTTTCAAAAATTAAATCCGGGATCATATGAACTCCAATTTCAACAAACTTACTGTCAAACTGAGCATCTCGGAAATATGAACCCAACGACACCAACTTCGATTCAATCCGAGCCCAAGTGAGTCCAAATCAAGGAGCCGAAGCACTGTTGGAAAGTTCGAACCACAATTTCAGTTACCACACGATTTACAAACATAACGTGCTTCTAGTCAAATCGAGCGGCTCCACGAGATGAATCCAATGAACCCAAGATCGTCGAATTCCTACATCATTAAGACCTTCAAATGTCTGATGGACGGTACACGATCAAGGGATTCAATTCGGCCGTCCATCCGACCACTCCCTACTTACCCATGATCTCTCACCTATTTACAGACCATACCACTCCAGAATATTTTTAAATAGACCCCTCATTTCTCATGAGAGGGGACCCAAACAAGAAGAAAAAGAGAAGGAGAAGAGAAGATAATAGGTAAATGAGGGAAGAAACTCCTCCTCGACCATCGCCGGAGTTCTGCTAGACGTCTAAGTGACGCTAGAGTACTGCCCAACACCCCAGTGACGTCAGAATTCTACCCGACACTGGAATTCTGCCGAAGCGATGCTGAAATTTTGCCCAAGCGACGCCGGAATTCTGACGGACGTTCAAGTGACGCCTAAACTCCGTCTAATTTCCAAGTGACGACGAAATTCTAAGTGATTCTAAATTCAACTCAAATACACAACTTGTGTGTAACTAGACTTCAACCCGAAAGTAAATCATTGTAATATCGTCCTAAATTCTAAGGACGAGTCAGTCTCTTGTATCTCAAGCAAAATAGCAAATACTAGTGGAACTTTTTCAACTGAGCATGACTTCGTGATTTTTTTCCTTTCTGGGTTTTCCACATAAAAATCCGAGTGTCATTATTTATCTCATGTTTGTGTGCTAGATATCCGTACAACACTGAAACATAAACTTTGTAACTTTACCGTCGGGTATATTCTAGCCTGCTACAAAGTCATTGATAAAAAATGCTATGAAAATAACTTAGTTATGCTAGAATTTTGTTATTACATCTTCTATGTCATTTTCTTGTTTAAAATTTCAAAAACATTAACCAGGCTTTATTTTTCTGAAAGTTTTATAGGTGTGATCTTAATTATTTGTAAAGTCATTCAAAAAATTTTCAGGTAATCAAAACCAATTGTTTTAAAAATTGAATATATATATATATATATATTTATTTATTTATATATTTATAGTAGTCGTATTTATACTATAATTCCCTCATTTTATAACTGATTCAAGTATTTTGAAACTCTAAGAGCCTCACTGAGACGACTTTACCTTGAAAAAATAAATGTAATATTATTATTGAGAAAATAACCTTTTGAAATCTATTGTAAAAAACTTTCCCATATAAAAAAAAAAAAACTAAAAAACAGCAAGATACTAATAGTCAAATGGAATTGTAATTAAGGTAAAAAAAAATAGCAGGAAGTAAATTGTCCTAAATAGAAATTTTATTAAGGGGCAATTCGGTGGCTAAAAAATAAATACAATGTAAAAAAATACTTTTAAATTATTTGAATGAGTGCAAAATAAATTCAGATGAATGCTTCTTTTTTGTTTGATTTGAAGTATAATGAACATAGAATAAAGTCTAAAAATGTTGATGACCAGCAATTGGCAGTGGTGGCGGCCAGCAGCAAGTGGTGGCGACGGATACCGACAATGGATGACAACGACAACCGATAGCAATGATGATCGGGGGTGGTGACCAGTGGCGAGCAACAGTGGCCGATGACAGTGTTCATGGCTAGAGGGTGGCGTTGGTGTTTGACAATGATTAGGCAAACTTGCTTGCAGTGTAAATCATTCTCACTCAAAACTGAACAAATTTATTTTACCTCAAAAATAAACTAGAATGATTTACACTATATTTACTTTGAAATCAAATATCAAAATTTCAAAACCACCGCTGTTGGAATACTTTAAAACCATTTGGAATCCAACCAAATAACCTCTAACTCAAGATACTTTACAATGCTTTAGAATAGTATTTCTAACTCCCAAGTTAATTCCTATTGACAAAAAAGGATAGCACTATTATAAAGATTAAGGCTTTGTTTGGGACGGCTTTCTTCCTGCTTCTTAAAATAACTTTTTAGTACAATAATTAAAATTTTTGTAGTAAAAAATTGCTTTAACAATCAGTAAAAAAGCCGTCCCAAACAAAGCCTAAAAAAAAAAGCTTTAACCTTTATCGTTCTTCATGATTCTCTTTGCTTTGACAACAACTAGATGATCTTCTCTCTTTCGCCGACAAACCTATCGAGGATGCCCTAAATATAGAGCTCATTAGAACCACCTCCGCACTTGAGCTCGACCTAGCTCGACCAAGATGTCCTTCATGAAGATAGTTCAAGGAATCCACCACCTAATCCATCCCCACAACCCCATCCCACAAGACCACATCATCATCAATTCTTAATTGATAAATATTATGACTATAAGACTATCTCAATATGGATGGAGCAACATTTTATCCACTTTGATGAATGAGAAACATTTAAGAAGAATGATGATTATGTTCCATACCCACTACATAAATGTTACTCTCAATCTCATAAGAAGCCATCACTTCTAACGGTCAATTTGAACAAAAAAGTTTTGATTTACTAACTTGAAACAAACAATACAACGACTGGTTGGATGGCCATATCTAAAGAACACAAGTAAAACTCAACATATTAAGAACGTCAAGTTAACCACCATTCAGTAAAGATCTTAATTTGT